GATCGAAGCTTTATTGTCCAAAATTATTTCCTATGAGTTTTATTTATGATATTAAGTTATTTTGGCTAGATTTTAGGCGTCCGGAGGTTGTTTCACACGAGAAGGTTATTTTAGAGTATCGGTCTAGCTTCTTTGAGGTAAGTATCTTGCCTAACTTTGTGTGAGGGAACTACCCCTTAGGATTTGAGTCATTTTTGCTAATTTGTCATGTGAAAGCCGTGTACGTGAGGTGAAGAGTACGTACTCGGGCTTATTTGTGGAATTTGATTGATTATGGCTTTTAGGTTCTTATGTTCATTAAAAATGAAGTTGTCTTATCATGTTAAATCCTCCATTTACTAAATTCACCCTTACGTGTCTTATTTGGAGTTGATCGATTCATGTTCTACCCTTATTGCCAATAATCTCTTATGTTCCTTAATTGAAGTTGTCACCTCTTTTATTACCATGATGTCTTTTCTGTAATTGCTTAACCTTAATTGAAGTTATTATTGTCTTTTCCGCAATTGCTCAACCTTAATTGAAGTTATCATTATCTTTTCCGAAATTGCTTAACCTTCATTGAAGTTATCATTATCTTTTTCATAATTGCTTAACCTTAATTGAAGTTATTATTATCTCTTTCGTTATTGCTTAACCTTAACTGAAGTTACTATTATCTCTCCGTAATTGCTTAATGTTAATTGAGTTTTCTTATCCCTTTCATTGTTGACTTATCCTTATTTGGAATCATTGATTTGTGCTATCCCTTTTATTGTCGAGTTTTACTTATGTGGAATCGTTGTTATACATCATCTCTCCCCTTGTTGAGATATTCTTGTTGAAACCGTTATTGCCTGTTGTGTCTTTCATTGCGAGCTCGTTCTTCCGTTTTCTTGTGTCTGTAGTTCTTGTGTTAATTTACTTGTCGTACTCTCGCATTATTGTTGTTGTTGTACTGAGTATTGTTGAGCCAAGAGCTATGCGTGGTTGCGGTATTGAAATTTGTTTTGAGGGAAAGTTGTGGCATACGGGCACATGTGGTGAAAGACCTTATATTGTGTTGCTATATTTTTGGCACACGTGGTATTGTTGAGAGGATTGTCGGGGTGTTCGCACGTAAGTTGTCCGTGCTTTTATTACTATTGATATTTGCACATGCGGTGACAAGGTGGGCTATATATGTGGATTTGCACATGTGGCGAGACAAGGTGGGAATATTATTATGTGCGTGCGGCACGACAAGGCGGGCATTTACTTTATTGTTGCGCACGTGGCGAGACAAGGTAGGCTATATCGGGAATGATTTGTGTTGACTTGTGATGGACCGGGGGCATTGTTATTGATGATATTTGTGTGGTGGTGTGCTTACCTTTTGTGAGTTATACATTGTACATTTTGTGATGATTATTTCCTATGTGACATTCATTGTCTCTACTCTTACTCGTTGACTTGAGTTATGATAGAGCACTTGCACAAGCATACACGTAATTAATCACCCATATCGGTTTAAGAAGATGAATCCTGATGTTGTTGACCATTTACATGCACTCTCGTTTACTTGCCTTCTGTGTGAGAGTTGTCCTATTGGCACGTGAGTTGTCCGTGCGGTCATGAGTCATTGTTATTGTTGGCATGTAAGTTGTCCGTGCGGATATGAGATACTGTCACTCCCTTATCACGTGAGTCGTACGCGCGGTTATGAATTTTAATGAGGGCACAATATGCCAGGTGATTAGGGCTCATGAATTGGGACCAGTGAAATATGACTATGAGGTGAAGTACCTCGGGTAAGATCCTTGAACAAATCTGGCGTGGAAGCGGTTGCTCTTATTGAGTTATTACTTGTTTTTCTTTACTTGGTCTCACCGAACTTAAACTGTGTTCAGCTTACTCCACGACATTACTACATGCTTGCTCCATGTAGCTAATTGTTGTTTCTAGTGTTCTATTGCGAGTATAGTTTTGTTATCTTACCATGCTTAGTTTTATATTGACATTGTTTCCGTGTTAGTTTCACATTCATACTTGTACATCTTGTTAAGTCTAGTAGGTGTCTTGACTGTCCCTCGTCACTACTTCACCGAGGTTAGTCTTGATACTTACTGGGTACTGTTGTAATGTACTCATGCTACGCTTTCTGCACATTTTTTGTGCAGATTCAGGTACTTCGGAGTTGGTTGATCACTAGCTAGTTGTTCGGGTTTTGCTGTAGGGACTCAAGGTATACCTTCCGTCGCGTTCGCGGGTCTTGGAGTCACCTTCTGATATTGTGTACTTATACTGTCTATTTCTATTCCGGAACAGTTGTACTTAGAAGATTTTTTTCCCTAGTAAACTCAATAGAGCTTATGATTTGTACTACCAATTTTGGGTATTGTATTGCACTCAGGATTATTGGTTTACTATAGAAATTTCAGTTCCATGCTTAATAGTTGTTTCTGGTCAAATTTTTTTTATTTAATTTATTAAGTGTTAGCCTTACCTAGTCTTAGTAGTCAGGTGCCATCACGATTCCTACGGATGGAAATTGCGGCCGTGACAATTTCTCTGATTATCCTATAAAGGATATTCGCCTTGATAATACTAAAAATCCTCATCTCAAGCTTTTGATGACTATTATTTATCAATTGGGGCGAAAGTTGAATATATTATAGCTCATGTTCATACTCAAATGACCTTGCAGAGTCATTTATTAAACGCCTGCAATTGATAGCAAGATCATTACTTATGAAAACAAAGTTGCCATGACTCTTTGGGGTTATCCTATCTTGCATGCAACATCACTTCTTCGTCTCAGACCGGCAGATTATAATAAATACTCCCGTCACAATTAGTTTTTAGTTATGAACTAAAAAGTTTTCATCAATTTTTTGATGTGATGTATATGTTACCTAGTAAAATATTGTACTCACTGTCGAAAACTTAGCTCTTACTATATGAATAAATCATAGTCAGCCACCTTTAAGAATAGATATAAAGTATGACATACATTTTACATGATAAGAATTGGAAGTGAACTAGTGTACTTAACATAAACATAAACCTAAGTGGGGTCGAGCGTTGGGCTTAGTCTTACTGGGATACTAGCTAGGAGAAATAATGTTGAAATATTGGATTGGGAATTGATAACTTGGGCTGGGTAGTGAAGGAAGGTTTACTTAAACAATTCGGTATTCCGGTATTGCGGTATACCGAAATATTGAAACCTCAATACCGAGGACCATACCGAAATACCAAATAACCAAAAAAAATATACCGAAGTATTACTGAAATACCAAATAAATTGATACTGAAATACCAAATTAATTCGGTTTGGTTCAAAATCAGATTTTTCGGATTTTACGCCCACTCGTAATAATTTCTGGTGATATAAGTTCGATTAAAGGCTCTGGAAGAGCTATCATATTTCAACCTAAGGGAACAAAACTTATCATAGAAGATACATTATTCTCTTTCAAGTCCTGAGAACCTTGTTGAGTTTAAAGATACTTGCCAAAATATGTATCATGTTGAGACAATAGATGAAATGAATGTTGAATATCTTTGTTGTTACAAAGAATGTCTTTGGTTAGAAGTATATTGTAGAGAGGTTACCAACTTTATCTTCTGGCTTATACTGTACAAAGATTAGTACAATTAAAACAGACTCTATTGTAAACTAGAAGTTTACTGATTCAAATACTTTTTTGCTTTGACATGGCCGATTGGGGGCATTTTAGATCAATAATGATGAGACGAATCATTACAAATTTAGATGAGCATCTATTAAAGAACCTGAAGATTCTTACAAATGATAAATTTACTTGTAATACTTGTTATCAAGGTAAAATGATCACTAGACCATCACCATCATAGGTTGGCTTTAAATTTCCTGCCTTTTTAGAGCATATACATGAGGATATATGTGAACCTGTTCACTCACTCAATGAGTTGTATAGATTTTTATGATCCTAATAGATGCATCTTCTAGATGGTCTCATGTGTGCCTACTAACATCTTGCAATCTGGCGCTTGCGAAGCTATTGGCACAAAATATTAGATTAAAGGCACAATTCCCCGATTATCCTATAAAGGATATTCACCTTGATAATGCTGAAAATTCTCATCTCAAGCTTTTGATGACTATTGTTTATCAATTGGGATAAAAGTTGAACATATTGTAACTCATGTTCATACTCAAATGACCTTGCATAGTTATTTATTAAACGGTTGCAATTGGTAGCAAGACCATTGCTTACGAAAACAAAGTTGCCCACGACTCTTTGGGGTCATGCTATCTTGCATGCAGCATCACTTCTTCGTCTCAGACCGACAGATTATAATAAATACTCCCGTCACAATTAGTTTTTTGTTATGAACTAAATATTTTTCATCTATAAATTTTTTGATGTGATGTATATGTGCTAGTAGCGCCACCATAGCGCATTAAGATGGCCCCGCAAAAAAGGTTAGGAATATATGTTGGGTTTAAATTACCCTCTATATTTGCTACCTTGAATTATTGACGAAAAAATAATCCATTGCTCGATTTGCAGATTGTGTGAAAAGTTTACAAGTAGCTCATGCAGGCAACTTACAAGCAGCTCCTGTATAGCCTTGCAACAGCTTCTTTAAAAGCCTCGCATCAACTTCTTTTCTTCTATAAATAAGGAGCCAAAGCAATTTATTTTGTACATCTGTTTGAAGTTGAATAATATATAAGTCTTTCTCTTTTCTCTATATTTATCTCTGGTTTGTTTACTTTTAGTCTTTATTTTATAACAGAAACAGTTTTCTTTTTTATTTTGTTAGCTTTTATGAGTACTTTGATTATGGTTTTGAAAACTTGTTTTCAAGCACGTTTTTTTTGTAATTGTTAAAGTGTGGAGATAATTGTATTTGAAATGGAATCGCATTTATTCTAGAAAATTATTATAGTTGTTTTTAGGGAAAGAATGCATTTGTGATTCTACAATTTGTTAGTTAGTTCAAACAACCTTCCTCATGCAAGAACTTTTACTTTTACAATCTACTTAGTATAATAAAAAAATTTCTCATCAATTTTAGGCACTTTGAAGCCAAACAAGCATATTGTTTAACAATCTCATTACATATTTTCTCCAACGATTTTTTTTTCCAGGATAGCTTGCGTGCATCTCAACTATTTCACCGGGTATCTGCTATCTCCCACCAGCTTAGGTACCGAGCAAAACTGCAGCTAAGAGTTAGACAGATGAAAAGAAATCACCTAGTATATCTTACCTCCGCTAAAATTTGAACCTAAGACCTCATGATTCACCTTATTGTCACCCAAGAACATTGGCACTCCATAACTCCACTTACAATGCTCATAAGCTGGTGAAATATATCACAAGTCTCAAATACTTGTTGTTTTCAGGATATGCTGAAGTTCAATGTTGGCCAATATAAGATAGAAATTATGTACATAACATAAAAGTTCATTCCCGCTCTCCTTATCCATGAATGTAAATGGAAAAGTTGACCAAACTCTTCAGCAGAATACTGAAAAGCTTCATAGTCACTGACACCAATCCAATGCTAAATATCATATTCCTATCAAAGCAAGTGAAAGCCTATAAAATTGTTTTAATGTGAGAGAGGATTGATCATTCTAAAATAATCCTGGCAAAACTTGTCTATATGTACTAAAAGCAATTTGAGATTGAGGGCAGGCATGTACAGTTGAAACAGATACTATTTGATTACTCTAAGGTTCATCTGTATCACTTCCTCCAAGTTGAGCATCTTGACTTAATGAATAGCTGCTTCCATCTGGACCCAAGACCTTAAACCTACTTAGCAGCAAGAACCAAAAAGTAAATTTACGGCATTTTGGACAACATTTGGTTGAAGTTGAAAACAAAAAGGTTTTTGAAGTTGAAAAGGAGCATTTGGATGTTGAATTTGTGAATTTCACTTAAGAAAACAATTATGATTTTGTGAGAGAACCGTTATTTCACTTGAAATACTCCTTCAAACATGTTTTCAACATTTCACTTCAATATTTGCAAATATTGATGGTCAAACCATTATCCGCAGATACTGAAGTGAAATATTGAGTATGACAAATGGTTAAGCTTGTGACATGATTAGATACCAAACTGAAATGCGAAAGAAACACTATGATACCTCTCAATGATGAATTTCCCTTCCTTGTACTTTTGGCTTTTCTGCTCTGCAGCTTCCTGAAATTATTAAGACGCTGTTGGTACAACATATCATGCTAACTAGACATTAAAAGTGAAGAACTAATGCAGAGTCGTGAAATAGTGAAAAGGAGACTCACATATTTCCACCCCACAATAGAGCCACATCCCACACAGAATATGTCAACAACAGTGTGCATTCCAGTCAGCATTGCCCGCTCTTCTTTCTCTCCAAGAATAACATTCACACTGCAATGCCAACAAAAGGAGAAGAACATAACATACACTCTTGTGAGCGGAAAGCATGAACTGTAGGATATAGTGGCTAAGCACATTTTCTGCCATTCCGCAAAATAGCATCCAAGATATGTTAGTTTGGTTTTCTTGTTGAGACAAGACAAGACATTCTAGGAAGTCAAACACTTGCAGCAAAATCCCAGCAGAGAGAAGAAATAATTAAGGTAATGGGGAAGTATTTACACTAATTTATAGAAAATCCATCTGAAATGGCAGGTTATATTGAACACTTACACTCGATCAAAAAGGTAAGCCTTCCCATGCTTGCATTGGAATGACTGGAAAAAAACGGTGAAAGGCCGAGAGTTAGGATACATATGCCTGTGCCTTTGTAGCGAAATAGCTAATCCACACAGGAAACATAGCCGTATAAACCAGAGTTTTCAAATAGTAGCATGAAGATGACATAAAGCAGAATCCAGGAATAGTACCACTCAGAACTATTATACATCCAAATTATCTTCAGGCAATTTTCAGGCAACATAGCCATTAGAAAGTGACTAACTTCAATAACTCTTTTAGCACATATCTCTTGCGGACCTAGCTGTCTAACTGAAATAGAATAACTAAGGCCAATAATTCACTAGGTAACCTCATCTGAAACAATTAGCGAACCTTGGCTCACCGCACAAATAGTCAAGTCCGCTAAGGCTGAGTGATAATGCTTTAATATGAAATAGCAGATATGCCTACTTAATATACAGAACAAGAAAAAGAGGTTGGAATGTCTAATGAAGCAGTTTCAATCTCACTGGACACATATACTGAAGCAAAGGTCATATATCATCCATCAGGTGCAGTGTGCGATAGATTAAGAACGCATTAACAGATTGCTGCTATTTGAGCCAGAAGTTAAACCATTCAAAGTTGTATGTCCAAACTCAAGAGAAAAGCACTAAATAAGAAACACTGTCCATTATGACCAGTCCCAATTTGATACCACAACACAGACTTCATGCGCGCCACCCAACTTCCTCTTGCATAGTTTTCATCTTCCTTGAAGCTTGTTCTATGTAAAACAAAATCCTGCTGAATATCATTTTTTTTCCATCTATCGATCAATTCAGAGGTGAAAGAAAGGTATCTACAATAGCATGCACATTAGGAGTTTTTTGGAATTCAAATATAAATAATCCCCCCAACCATATAATGGTTCTGCAGTCTTTGACCGGATATAGAATTTAAGATGTTAATTGGACTTTGCATTACATTGATAGTAGAGAATGGTATCAACTTGGTAGAGAAAAAGTCACCCAAACTTGAATATTTGAAGAGGTGAATGAATTTGAATCTTGAAAATTGTCAAAGTTGGAACTTATCAACATAAATTGCATCACTTGTGTAGAATAATATAATTCGTAGGGTGGTTTATAATATTTTGGACGTACCAAAATAGAAACGTGCCATGTAAATTTGGACATCAGGGATAACCTGGCTACTAGGATAAGTTAAGACAATTAAGGCCCATACTAAGCTGAGATAAAAGGATTTGGTAAAAACACATAATAAAAGTAAAGAAGGCACAATTGTACACAATTTCAGACACTGAACAAATAATGGAGAAACCAGAAAGATGGATGATCATTTCTCCACGAAACTGACAACCATGCATGCCTGTATATTTACAAGAAGAGGCTGATTTAGAGGACAGTATTATGAACCACCTGAAAAGGCTGATCACTCGGACCTGAATCCCTTATTTAGACGGCATACATCATTTCAAAACTAGACTGAGTGATATCTCATTAGACATGGAATAAAAGAGTTATAAAACTGCAGCCAAAGAAACATCATTGTTTAATTAAGACCTTCATTGGGCTAGAATGCAGTAAAACATTTCCAGATGGAACATAGCCTTGAGAAGGGATTAGTCCCATTTTGCACCATCCCAACACCAACAAGAGATCTAATACTCTTATTATAGCCTAAAAGTTAATATAAAGGATAAGGAGTAGCTTAGAACCCCTCCGAAACTCAAGGCACTAGGATGCCACAACCGCGACCCAAGAAGTATTTATGCACTCCCCAAAAAAATGAACGCTACTTAGAATACAGGGTTGAGTGCAGCGATTATCACTGTTCCTCCCACCCTAGAGACCTAAAGATCTTGATCACAGCAGTTCCACACCCTCAGCCACCATATAATCCACTGATTAAAGAGAATAGGCAAGGCCATGAGCGCCTGCTGGCCTTCAACCTGGGCCATGTTCAGCCAACATTTTTCCCCACCCCTTGTGCTCTGTGTAGATACAATTTCTTTTCTTTTTTCATTTTGAGAGTTCCACGTGGAAAAGATATACTGAGTTAGAGAATCAAATTCCTTCTCCATTTGCAATCACGTACCAAGTTTCATGCAGCCACATTAGGCAGTATGGAACTTGCAATACAGATTAAACACCCTTATTCCTTCTAGCACAAAAGTAATGATTTGACAGTCACACATAAACCAATCCAAAGTTGCAAAAAGGAAGAACTCCACCTATGTACAAATTATAGTCAATTTCAAAAGTGGATATAGGAGGAGGACTATAGTAGTTTGACAATCTGGTGAAATCAGTCAAATATTAATGACTATGATAATCATCTGGATTACATACGATCAATATAGTACCCCAACTAGTTTGGTACTTAGACCAAACAATAAAAGGGAAGGATACTTAATGTTATAATCATTTTCTTTCTAGGCCTAACCAAAATGTCAATTGTATAAAGAACATAAAAACAAACAAAATAAGGCTAATAAACTCAAAACAAAACCTACAACGTTATCAAATAAATAAGAACTCGTCAGAGAACTAAGCCTGGGGGGCATTAACCCCGAGTTTCAAATGCTGCAGTTGGTCCTAAGGTTGGCCACAGATGGATTTCAAGGTCAATAAAAGAAACTAGTAATAAATTCGAAACAAAACCCACAATGTAAAAATCAAATAAGGATTCCGCAGAGAACTAAGCCTCGTATTTAAATGGAGAAGGGTGAAGGGGCCAGCCTATTAGGCAGTTGATCCTAAGGGTTGGATACTACAGAATCACAAGCCCACAAATATAAAGTATTACAACACAAACACAAGCCAATCATGGACTATGTAGATAAATAGATAAAAAGGATATATACCCTAGAAATAAGGTGATCAAGAAGAGCAAAATGGGTATGACAGTGCTTGCATCTATAGATGTTTCCTTCAAGACTGATCACAAAAAGTCTACCCATCTTCTTCAAATTATACCCCTTCAAAAAACCATAAAAAAGAGAGAGTTTTATCAGCAAATTCAAGAAAAGCCCAGATTGAAAAAACAAAACAAGAATCAAGGAACAATCGATCGTGACCCACTATAATACAATGTACAAAAACAGAAAAAGATTAACCCCGGATGACAATTGATGTTACCTTTTTGCAGCAGAGTTTTGGAAGTAGAAAACAAGTAAGCCACCCACAACGGTGAGCCATGTGTTATTCACCTATTTATACCTGCTGAGGGACTGCATAGAAAATTATAAAAAATTTCATAAGCCCACTGTCCAATAGGAATTTAACTCCTTTTTTCCTTCTTTGCTTTTCTTTATAATTTGCATTAGAGCCGTCAATAAAGGCAGTCCAGTATGTGATTTAGCAGGGCTGGGCTAGAATTTTGGGACTTTTACCTACTTATACTATGTTAGAAACTTATTAACCAATATTCTCTATGTTTTGTAGTTTTTAATAAGTATCTAGGTTTTTCTTACAAATTATGTAGATTGCTCCTTAAAAGGCTCTCACCCCATTATTACTGCCTTCAATTAAGGAATTCAATTATATCCTTTCCTTTTCTTTTTTTTTTCCTTATCCTGTTCTCTCTCCTTTTTCTTTACAACAAAATTCCTTAATCTACGCCCAGAATCTCCATCTTCTCTCTTCCCACAATTGCCGACAATTTTATATTATTGTTTAACCAAAAAATAGAATTTCGGTTAAAACTAGAAATTAAGAGAAAAATCGGGTTACTGATAATCAGGAGACGAAAAGAATAAGAAATTTTTGAGGATAATAAAGCAGTAAATAAGTTTGTATTTCAATGTAATCTCAATGATATTTCGTGTGTTTACAAATGCTGAGACCTTCTCCTTTTATAGTTGATTTTTCTAGAAAAAGGTATAATGCCTTAGCCTTAAAGAGGCAATTATGAGCATTAAATGACATTAAATGAAACGGTACACAATCATTCCTATTCAATACTGATTCGCTAACGTATTTGACATTCAATACTGAATTTAGACTCCTTTATGCCATCAGATTCATATCTTCAATTCCTTCTGACCTCCTGGCTTTAATTAAGTTAAACAGATACGAGACTCGTATCATTTGAATAGCATCTCGTGCCTATTTAACTTTCTTCTCCTCGTATCTGATATTGCCCGTGCTTCTTAACTGATCATCATGTTTTGACCATTTGACCAGTCCACGTGTCATGCCACGTCACCTTCAATTATAAATTCAGTTTTTTCACAATAAAGATAGTCCCCCCACTTTTCATTTATTTATCAATTAAATATTTGGGAAGTGGATCTTCATTAAAAAGGGAATTTTTGCCATAATCAATGCTATGATAGTGTCGACGCTTCAATTGTCTCTTCTATTTAATGCACCATATACATGTCACCTTCTCATTAGTTTTGCGATTTTGCAGCCTTTTTCTAAGGCTTCTTTAACTCCACTATTCACGAAGTGATAGTTGCCTTTATTATAGGCTTTCCATCATTACACTTCTTAATTATCGACGGTTGAGTTTATATATAAATTTGCCCCCTTTTTCCTTTGTCTTCTTCTTCACAAGCTTTTTACCAAATTTCTTGCTATTTACTCTCGTTCACTTCTTCTTCAGTTCATACCTTCTCACTATGTCGTCTTCGAATCGTAACCCTAAAAGAGTCCCAATTCTTGATAGTTTCCCCAATGCTCCTGCTAGACACAGAAGAGGCAGAGGAGGTGTGCTTCGTGGTACAGGGTCGGTTCGTGGTGGTGCCTCTGGTTCCATCACTCCTTCTTCTAGTTCTGGCAATATCTCTAGAGGCTCTCTTTCTAACAGATCCACTTCTAAGGGCAAAGAACCTTCTGAGTCTAACCAAGAGCCTCTGGTTGAAGAAATTGTGCCAACGGATTTATCTTTCGAACATGACAAAGAATCCCTTCGGGACCAAGTGATTAAAGTAGAGAGAGCTGATAAATATCCCTCTTTAATTACTGAACCTTTGATTCAAATTGTTCGAAGAGACTGTCGTTGGAGAGATGACACCCACATAGTTATTCCTACTCCACACCAAAGAATATCTTCTTATAGGGTTGGCTTTTCTTTCGTTTACACTTATCCCTTTACCTTGGGATTTATTCCTGCTATTGACCCAGTCATACTTGATTTCTGCCGTTTTTTCAAAATTTGTTTGGCTCAAGTTGGTCCCCTCGTATGGAGAGCAGTAGCTTGTTTGAGGTATATGTCAACCAAAGCTGATGTTGACTTTTCTTTCCCTCATCTAATTCATCTTTATCACCCCAATCTATTCCTCAATGGTATTTTTACCTTATCTTCAAGAAGTAAGAAGGTTTTGGTTAACCCTGAAGATAATAACGACCGTGGCTGGTACACCCGGTTTGTTGCTGTTCCCACAATTGATTTGGTGGGTGAATAAAATATTCCTTTTCCTGAGAAATGGAACTTTACACGTAAGTATTTTCTTCCTTGCCGTATCTGCTTTCGTTAT